CAGACTCCGCCCCGGCCGCAGACTCCGCCCCGGCCGCAGACTCCGCCGCTCCGCCCCGGCCGCAGACTCCGCCGCCCCGGCCAGGCCGCAGGCTTCCTGCCGTCCAGGTGCCAGCGGTTCCCCAGTGGCTGCCCTCACACCCACAGCCTCAGCCCCAAGGCTCCCGACTGCCCAGCAATGCGGGGGCCCTCTAAACACTCCCCGGGCTCTCTTCCTGACAGCCTTCCTCTTCCAAACGCCACCTCCTGGCCAGTCCTCCCCTCCTCCCCACCCTTGCAGAAGCCACGCGAGTTCCCACAGGCCCACGGAGGCAGTGCAGCCCTGCAGATGTGCTGCTGGCCCTGGGGGCTACCTGCTCAGTCCCGGGAGTGGTGACCTCGAGGGACCCCCAGCCCCATGTCCTCCCGTCTCCCGGGGACCAGTGACCCGGGGTCAGGGTGGGACGGTGGCCCTCAGGCCTTGGCTACTCTCTGAGACCCTCCCCGTGGACCAAGGTCCCCAGCAGCCCGCCCAGCCTTCAGGCCCAGGGGCTACGGTGCCCTCATGGCTACTGTCCTGGGCACCCCCTCCTCCCTGACAGGCAGGACCCCAGGAGGGTCACAGACCAGTGTAGCTTCCCAACTGAGGGCCACGTGGTGAAGGGGACAAAGAGGCAGAGACGCAGCCCCTGCCATCCCTGCAGATGACAAACACCCAGAGCCGGAGACAGAAGACAGTTTATGTTCAGGGACTCACTGGACAGGACTGGACACTCGCCCACAGGGAAGGGACTGGAGTGGTTGCGACACGCCCTAAACAAGAGCCTTGTCATGACCTGGAATTCCCTGCACTAGGACAGCAGGTGACGCTAGGACAGCAGGTGACAGCAGCTCCAGGCCACCGCGTGTCATCCTTGAAGGACTGTGATTAACTGAGCATCAACAGAGGAGCCCAGGGCATCCCAAGTGCCAACTGCCCGCTGTCCAGCGGGTCCCCTGCTGGCCTCAAGGGACGCTTAGAGGACCAGCGCTGGGCAGACCAGCTGGGTTGCCGGTCACAACAAGCAACCAACGAGGCTTGGCCCCTCCTCACTATGACGGGGCCAGGAATGGGCAGGTGACAATGTGGCCAGTGAGACTCAGCATGGTGGCCATCCCCACAGGGTGCCCAGCTTGCACCTGAGGTCTGGGACCCTGGGCAGCGAGGTGAGGGTTTGGCCACCGCAGGAGGGGCCACGGGAGCCGCCCTGCTGAGCCTGGTGACCCTGAGAGGACCCGCTTTGGCCCAGAGGCTTGGAGGCCGAGGCAGGAGGATCGCGAGCTGGAGGCCAGCCTTAGCAACAGCGAGGCCCTGAGCAGCTCAGCGAGGCCCGGTCTCTAAATAAAACACAAACAGGGCTGGGACGGGGCTCAGGGGTCGAGGACACGTGGGGTGAACCCCCAGTTCCCAAACAAAAGAGAGAGGAAGGAGAACGCAGTGGCTAAGGCTGGCCCTGGGGGCAGGGACCGGGTGCTGATAGGCGCAGAGGCCTGTCCGGGATGATGACAAAGTTCTGCGAAGGACAGCGATGATGGCCACCAGAGGAGCTGAGTTCACTCCGTGACACTGAGCTGAGCCTTCCAATGGCAGACTTTAGGCATATTCTGCCAAAATAAAAAATAATAGCACATGGGGACCACGGAGCCCAAGTGAGTCATAAGCCACAGAGAGGGGACGAGGGAATAAAAGAACCAAAGACCTAACAGGAAGTAAGGGCTGCTCCTGAGACCTTCCTGGAGGAGTGAGCTTCCTGGCAGCCAAGGCCAAAGGGGAAATTAGACAGTGACCCAGGGGCCCCCAGTCTGCTAAAAGGAAGTCGTCAAGTTCACTGGGGAAAATAAACGTGCTCTTGGCACGGGATCCCAGTCGGGGTTGGCGCTGTTGGTCAGGCTCATGAGTGGTCACCACTCCTCCGTGCCAGCGGGATGTCAGGCCCTGGCAACATTCCAGGATTTTTTTTTTTAACCACGCTCTACAGATGAGGAAACTGAGGCCCAGAGAAGGTACGTGATCTGCCCGAGGTCACATGACTAGTAAAAGGTGGCGGAGGCATGGAACTGCAGGGCCTGGCGGATGCAGGACAGTTAGAGCCCCGCAGTTCCCAGTTCTTCAAGCACCTGCCAGCCAGGCACCTGCTGAGTGGCTCAGGAGGCTGAGGCAGGAGGATCATGAGTTGGAGGCCAGCCGCAGCAACTTACTGAGGCCCTGAGCAACTCAGCGAGACCCTGGCTCTAAATAAAGAATAAATAGGGCTGGGAAGGGGCTCAGGGGTTAGTGCCCAGGGTTCAGTCCCTCGCTCAAAAAGAAAAGTCGCTGCTCTTGCTGCACCAAAAACAGGGGTCACTCAATAAATGTCCAACATGGACAAACTAAACACAGTGGCTTCTGGTGCCCCAGACCTCAGGCCCGCCGTCCTGCCCGCCCTGCAGGCTGGTCCCTCCTCTACACGCACCCTTCCAGCCCTGTCCTACAGACCTGCCCTGAGCCCTGCACCTCAAAGTCCTGGCCTCTCCAGCCTGCAGATGGCCCTGTGGCTTCAGGACTCACAGGAGGGCCCTTCCAAATGGGGCTGGAGATGACCTCAGGGACAGACTTCAAGGAGCAGTAGCCCTTGGTGAGGGATGATCCCCCTTCAGTTTGCTTTTAACCTATCAGGACAGTAGAGAAGGATCCTGTGGTCCTGGTGGACCTATGATATCTCCAGACACATGACCCCCCCCCTTTTAAGAATGAGTGGGCAGGGGACAGAGGGGCCAGGAGGCCGAGGGGGCTTGATCCTGCTGTATTTTTTTGCAGGGGGTATTCTGGATTTCAGGCAAGTGATCCCACAGCAGGGGTCAAAGGTTTCCATCAGCAAAACAAAGAGAGTTTTCTCAATGATATTAAGTGTCGGGGGAAGGCCAAGAAGGTAGGCGGACAGGCGGGCGGAGACCTGGCACTCGGGCCTGGCCTCACTGTGCTGAAGAGGAAGCCAACACCACGGCCAGTCTCCCCAAGAAAGGGCACAGGTCCCCTCCAGGGCCTGGTGCAGCAGCCCGTGATCAGATAACGGCCACAGAGCCCCAGGGACTCCGGGTCAGAGGAGGTGGTGAGACCAACTTGCTTTCCAAGATAAGCAGGGAACAGATAAGGGGAGAGGCTGCCAAGTACAGAGCCAGCAGGGGACAGCCAGCCCTCTGCTGTCCAGGACACCGCAGCCCGGCCGTGGCCCATGTCTGCCATCCCAGCCACTTGGGAGGCTGAGGCAGGAGGATCACAATTTGGAGGCCAGCCTCAGCAACTTGGCGAGGCCCTGTCTCTAATAAGATACGAAAAGGGCTGGGACTGGCTCAGCAGGTGAGCGCCCCGGGGTTCAGTCCCTGGTACCAAAAAAGAGTGGGGTCCCTGGGGTACACATGTGCATGCAGGGCGTGTGGCAAAGCCCCTCAGGGTGTCCCTCTTGTCCCCACACACAGCCCCAGCTGGGCTGTCCCCTCCAGGACACTGCTCTGAACAGAGACCAGCAGGTGCCCAGAGCCTGGACACTTGCACTCCGAGGACACCAAGAACGGAGCCACCCGGGACTGGACACCCGCTCCGGGGCCAGCGCAGGGCTGGGAACTCGGGGCGCACAGGGCTCCCGGCCCAGCGGGAAGGATGTTGGGGGCCCTGACCACAGGGCCAGGGGCAGCGCCCACACAGACAGCGGGGTCCTGGGGACCAGGAGTGGGAAAAGGACCAGGTCAAGGGGCCACCACAGCCTGAGTCCAGCTAAAGGGACCACCAAGGTGCCTGGGGCGCTGGGCAGGCTGTGTCCACCCCTGCGTCTCCGCCCACCCTGGGGCCGGGCACGGCCACCTGGCCCATTTCACAGCTGGAACAATCGAGGCTGGAGAGAGGACCCCTATGACCTGGGCACAGCTCCGTCCCCGCGCACCCCAGAGCCCTCTTCCCACGGCCAGGCCGTCCCCTGTCCCCGCATGGACGCCAGCAGAGCCCCAGGCCAAGACTCCTGGCCGCTGCCCAGGGCGGGGGTGGCAGCCCTTCCAGACCTGGGTGGGGACGCTGGCCAGGGACAATGCAGCCC